AATAAAATTATAATACTTGAGACACTTTTATACATGAGATTAAGATTTATATATCGAATTACTAACGATTTTTTAAATTCTTCATTAATTTAATTAAATTTACTTATACATATGTATATTATATACATATATATAATTTTATAAATTATTGTATTTAAGTAAATAATTTTCGAGTATTATTTTTATCAATTATAATTTTAATTTAATTTGAAAAAATTAGAATTATATAATTTTCTCTTATTATGATTTAATTTTTAATTAGTTCGGTGACCTTTTCATATGTACATAGTGAGAGCAAAAAAAAGCGTGAAAAATTCAATGAGATAGAGAAGCGTTTCTTTTCTTCGTCGCTAACCCTTGGCCCAGTTGGCATCGCGATTACGCAAAAACGACCGATTGGTAACGTGCAGTTGGCGAACACAGTCTGCGACAAGAGTAGCCGTCGCCATTCTCGCAGACGTCTGCGTCTTTTCGTTTTCGTTGTTTTACTTTCATCTCACTCTTGTACGGTTCTACTTAATAAATGTGAAATTAGCTATTCTCGGTGAAAATTCGACGAGAGCTTTAACTGTGAAGTTAAATAATACTTATATTAAATTGTTAAAATATTATATCTTTTCATGTGTATTGTTCATCAAACTTAAAAAGGAAAAAAGGAAAAATTAAGTTAACTTATGTCTTGATGTAACTAAGATTTAGGAGCATTAAAAACCTAAAAAAAATCATAAATTAATCGAAAGTGAAGACAGAATCTTATACCAGTTAGACGCATTTCGTTAAACTATAAATTTCTTGTTGTACAATCTTTCCAACAAACAATGTCGCAAATATTTGACGTTGATATTTTATGTCTTCAGTATGGAAGATAATATATATAAGTTGATTCTCCATATTAATGTGTAGATAATATCAATTATAACGTTTTTTTTATAGATTAGAACTTTTAAATTCGTCACTTTGACCCGATTGATTTCAATAAGTAATTATTGAAATTTCTAGAGGAGATTTTCAAGACTGATGTTGGCACATTTCTGCACGTGATATCATATTTGTGGCATGAATATCTACTTGGCACATGTCCGCGACACATTTTCTGAGACAGGTGCCGATTTTTAATTTAACCATATTTCTCCAAGAATTATCAAATAAATGAAAATCACATCGAGTGACTAAGACAAAATGTTTAGGTTTCTATTTTAAAAGAATTCCGAAAATAATTAATTTTAACGCAAGAGATGTTATGCGCCAATTATTATAATGATAGAAAATTTTAAATGCATTAGTGAATATTAAAATAAAATTAAAACATACCATAAACGTCTTCCGCGTGTCGCGAAACCGCAGTTGGGAAAAGTAGAGCGCGCACGAATTCATCCTGTGAGATGCATTCACCCTCTCGTCCTCTAAAACAGAAATATAAACAAACTACAGCGACAAAATTTCAATGTTTAACAAGAATGAGTAACAAGAATAGAAGCTCAAATTTTGTTGCATTATTTTAGTAAACCATTTCTGTCCAATTCTAATTCGATTTTAAAACACAGAATATCTAAAAAAAATATTACAATATCTGTCAAGAAGATGGATTAAAATAAACAAAGATTGGATTCTTGCATAAATAATTTTAAACGGACATTTATCTCTCGAACTAAAATTTATTTGTTAAGCTTAATTATTAATTTTAACATATCGAGTTAAGCAATTTAAATGACATACTTTTATATAACATGATATTGCATGCAAAGTATTAGTTGAATATTACATATTTATGTCACATTGCATAATTTTCCATTATTATTACGCAACAAAATTTTGAGCTTAAACGTAACTCTTAATAAAAATTGTAATATAATAACAGTAATAATCTCGTTTTCCAGATATTTTCTATAAATTTCCAATAATTCCATTAATTTTCATTAGAAGCTCGTTGAAAAATTAATGCATATAAAACGAGCGAATTAATATACAGTTATTATTTATTATTATATTTTCTCACTCGAATGAGTAAACTATAAATACAAATGGCAATTGAAAATAAAAAAACCACAATACCTATACACATATACAAGATAGCCAAGTATAAGTGACCACCTGTTTTTATTTCGTGAACTAACAAAGATAGACCTAACAAATATAATATCAAATTAAATCGGTTTAACTAAACTCTATTATAAGCACAGTGATTATTTAGGAAAATTATCCATGTTGGAAAATGAAGAAATATGCATAATTTTTACACGATAAAGTAAATATTTTGATATAATAAAAATTGTAGCATTCGTTCTAACAAATATAATCAGATGATAACATATTAAATGTCAAATCGTTAATGGGAGAATCGGAAGTTGGCCACATTGCATGGCCGAAACTGAAAAGGTAATCGTAAAACTTCAGACCAAAATAACTTGTGTAATTTGTATATTTTGTTATAAAATAATTTTATTATATCATATATCATTGTACTCAGAACGGACACTACAACTACAACTACAACTTTTATGATATCGAAATATTTACTTTATCGTATAAAAATTATGCATATTTCTCTCCATTCTTTAACATAAATAATTTTTTTAAGTGATCACAGTGCTTATAATAGAATTTAGTTAGAATCATTTAATTTGATATTATATTAGATGATTTATATTTATTTAGTGATTTATATTTATTTATTATATTGTTAGTTTAACAACAGAGATAAAAAGGAGTGGGTACTTATACAGGGACTATGTATATTATATATATAAAATCTGTTGCTTATGACAGAACGTAACTTGCCACTTATTAATGTTTCCATGGAGAAGTATAGAATATCTCGCCCTTTCTCACTCTAATAACGAGTAACACGCGGAAAATGACGAAGAGAAGAAGCTATAACTCGAATGTAGGCGTTCAACTGTAGAACAGTCGCACTCTTCCCGATTAATTAGCTGAATTTGTTTGCACAACTGCGCGACACGTTCCCCTTCACGTCCTCTCTATCCGTTCTCTTCGTTTGTTTGCTCTACAGTAAATTCGCGTAGTAACAATATAGTTGTGCCAATCTAACGTTCAACATTTACGTTAATTAATCGTTCGCGACTGCAATTTGAAAGATCAATCAGATTATGTATCAACTAAACCTTTATAGAATATATTCTTGAGTGTCCAGTGCAGTGTGATATTTAATACGTCCTCAATGTATATTACGAAAGTATTTTGTGTGTAGGCGTGTAAACGGTTTTACATTACCGCACATAAAATGCATGTCACTGTTCTTCCTGTTTGAAACTGTTTGAGAACGTCAACGTTTTTTTTTCTTTACATATTCTTTTAAAAATTTTCAAAAATTTTTTTGAATGAATTTTTAATTTACAATATTTGCGCGAGATTCGATGCGTAAAAATTTAATTTTGTTAATGGCAAATCTGTGCATTTAAAAATTAATATTTATCAATATTTTTTAAACGAATAAACTTTTTTCTTTATCAACAGTCGTTTATAGATCTAAGAATTCATACATTATTAAAGATATTTAATATTATACCAATACACGGAGGTAATCGCATAGCTTCTTTGAAATTACTCGTGGAAGTTTCAAACAAAGTATTCATTTCCAAGCATGCAATCACACATTACAAATTGTAATTTTTTGTAGATTACAATTACATCTATTTTATAATTATATCAACTAATTCATTTTATTATTTTATTTAATAATATATAAGATGTTCCAAAATTTGCGACTTGAAATAATAGCAAGAAAATTCTCTAAAAGTTAAGTAAAAAAGTTTTTTTGTAAATTTTTATTTTAAGCAATAATTTTTTAAATAATAAAGATTTAAATATAGCCAACTATAAGCTACGTTTAGATGACCATCTATCTGTCCATAAGTCGCGCGATAGTTTAATGAGCGAGGGAGCACTATAGCTGAAATATTGTCCCAAAGATTATATGATTTCATTTAATTTCGTAGAATTTTATCTGATTAGAAATAATTTTCTTCGCTACACATATAAAATCATTTGATAAAATAAACGATTTTATCTATTAATAATATCTATTAATAATATTACACAATGATTTCTCGTGATTGCATATACAATTATCGGATTCTACATAGGAATTTCACATGAATTTTATAATGATTTCGAAGACTTTGTTCCATGATTATATTAATTAAGTGATCATCCCCTCATTAGTAAGCGTTGAGGAACACCCGCTTTAGCATACAAATAATTTTTCTTAATTTTTCGAAAACTTTTTTACTATATATTATATATATTTTGAACATGAATTTCGCTCTCTCTAATTTCAGAACATCTTGTATGTTTAATAATATACTAAACTATATTTAAAACGTATAAAAAGAAGAGCATAAGAAATCACCGCACAAGTTATAGTTTGTGATATTTAATTATCATTATATTAAAACATTAAACGTTTCGGCCACAATCTAGCCATCTTCAGTAAATGCATAATATTCTTAAAACGCAGAGTTACATATAGTTGACATTAAATTCAACTGTCGTATGTTGTAATTATATAAACGTGTTCTTTCATATGTGAAGATGCTTCGTACAATAATGTTATAACGCCAATTGTCATATCACGAAAAGTCATATCGAAAAGTGTAGAACGAGAATTTCCAGATTCTAATTTAAACAAATATGTGTATCATTAATATCTTCTAATCGGAATATGTAAGAATAGAACGTTACCTGTTTTACAGCAAAAAAATATAATGATGAATCTCAAGTATCTATAATGATGAAGATATCAGTGGTTTCACGTCACCAGTTGAATGAGATGCATGAATTGGATTGGGATAACATAAGAATTTTAGACACAGAACAATCATTAATGAAAAGAAGAATTTTTGAAATGATATATATAAAAGGCCAAACAAGTGGTATCAATAAGCAAAGTGACACGGAAGGTGACACGTTTGCCTAATATTTATCTGCCTCTTCTTAAGAAAGATCTCTCTGTCATTTAATAAATAATTCTAGAACTTTCTAAACTTTTGACTCATATATATAAATAGTGGTAAAATATATGATATGACAAATAACAACACACAATGTCACGACAAATTTCTATATGTGCAAAGGATGTACTTGAGATTCATCATTATATTTTTTTGCTGTAAAACAGGTAAACACTGTAACGATTCTATTCTTATATTCCGATTAGAAGATATTAATGATACACATATTTGTTTAAATTAGAATCTGGAAATTTTCGTTCTACATCTTTTCATGATATGACAATTGGCGTTGTAACATTATTGTACGAAGCATCTTCACATATCAAAGAACACGATTATATAATCACAACATACGACGGTTGAATGTCAACTATATGTAACTCTGCGTTTTAAGAATATTATGAATTTACTGAAGATGGCCAGATTGTGGCCGAAACGTTTAATGTTTTAATTAATGTAATGATAATTAAATATCACAAACTATAACTTGTGCGGTGGTTTCGTATATGCTCTTCTTTTTATACGTTTTAAATATATAACCACGTTCGTTTTTATGATGTATTTTAAACTATATTTATCTTAGAAAAAATAATTGTAAAGAACAAAATAATTTTAAGACAATGTTTGCAAGTTGAGAAATAACTACTTCTTAGTTTCATATGTAATTTACATTTGCTTTGTATTATATCATTATGTGTATAACCATTTTTGCAAGAACAGAGAAATAACTTACTCTTATTATAGAATCACAAATTATTTAAAAAAAAAATCTTCAATTATGCGACGAAAGCGCATGATTAAAAAAACAGATTTTCTAAAGTATTCCCTTGAGAGGAGGAAAAAAGTCCTTTCTCCCTATCGTAAATCAACGCACATGTGTTTAATAATAAATAAATAAAATCTACAAATACATAAAACAGTATATCGTTTGCTTTATACTTGCACTGATTTCAATAGCTGCACAAGCTACGGTGAATATTTCAATTCTGAATCAATTTGGATCCATTCTTCATTTATTTGAAATCTTTTTATTCCAAACGTTTTTCTCTATTACGTTCATTTCTACCAATATAGATTAATTTTAAAATAAGGAAATAGATAAAGAGCACAAATAATTAAAATTAAAATAATAAAAGGGCTACGAGCTTAGCTAGATTGTTTATTGCTAACAATTCAATTTAATCTTTAAAAAATAATAATAAAACACAAACAGTTCCGATTTATTATCGGATAATTCTCAATGTGAACAAATAATTACAGCATAATATGGTAAAAATTGTTTTCGTCCGCTTTTCACAATTATTTCTTACGTCATGGTCACGGTGTTGCGATGTACCGTTCGTCCAGTTTTTCAAATATTAGGTGTTTCCTCATATTTGTGAATTCCTATAGTAACTTGTTATATTTTGCTTTTGAGTTCCATTGTATTGAAATGTGAGTGTGTATAACAAGTTACTGTAGGAATTCAAAAATGTGAGAAAACCTAATATTAAACCTACGCTTATCTCATTATTACTCTGAACAAATAACATACATCTACATACAAGTGTAGAGTCAGACTAGTTTTTTGGTCCAAATAAACTTTATCGTTCAGTGAATGTTAAAATTTACTCATTTAAATTGTTTCTTTTGTGAAATCCATTTAATACAAAATTTCTTCAAATTTATAAAAAAAAAAACAATATAAATGCGAAGATACTCACATTAATCGTGAAGTGCGCCGAGTCCGTCCAAGAGAATGATTCTAGTCTGCTGTACCTTCTATTTGATTATGATTGTTGCCGGTGACGATGCCATTGCTGTTCCCGGTACTGTCATCGTTACTACGTTGCTGGACATTGCCTCCGTTAACAACTCCAATCGATTCATGCTGCTGGAACGTTGCCTTACCACGTGACATGACGGCGACATCGCAACGCCGGACAGTATGTTTGGAACCGTGTCCACAACCGTTGTTGTTGCTTCTCGCCATACTTAGCGTCGCAAACTATGTTGAAACAGAAGACTACAATTATTACTCTTTCAATACTATTTCTATTCAGGATTGCTCAACTCATTTTCATTTCTTCAGAAGATAAAAAAAAATGTTAATTTTAAATCCTAAAATATATATTAAGAAAATCACTTCATATTGTAGCAAATCTTTTCTTTATGATAATATCATCTTTAATCAAATTTTTTTCCTAGACAATTTTTAAAAATACCTAATATTTAAATTATTTTTCCATTATTATGTTTTATAAATTTTAATTTAAAGATAAGCTCTTAAATTTCGCGACTATCAATAATTCATTTTTAAATAGACATTTGTATAATAAAAGGAATCAGAAATGTCTTATTGAAATCATATTATAATACGTAACCAACTGCGAATATACTTAAACTTAGGCAAATTTAAATTTTAATGAATTCTTCTCATCTAGAGAATGCAATAAATGAAAATGGAAATTTTTCAGTTTGCCAAAAAGCTTTAGACGATAAAATCATAAATAGTTCCTTTAATATGATTCGCAAAACATACCTAAATATTCTAAAAAATTTGTACGAGAAAAATTTTTCTCCATGTAAACATTTTTAATTTGCTGAGCTTGTCAAAAATATTAAAATGCTATATGCATTAATGTCTTAAAATGTCAAAAAGCAAATAATAGAAATCAAAGAATGATGAATTCTATCTATCGCGGTAATTTTCATTATTGCGTATACATCTATAATCCTCGAAAATGGTTCGAAAACATTGAATTAATCCAACCAGGTAATTTAATTTATATTATAAATTAACATGTATTAAAAGAAAGACGAAGGTAAAGAAAGAGAGAGACTTATGTACCTTCGACCACAACCAGGTCAAACTTCCCTGCGGTCGATGAACGTGATTTAAAAACGTGCCTAGTTGAAGACCAAAGGAATGAGCCTTCAGCAATCTGAAGTTCTCCCTCTTAATTTTCCCACGTTGTCCCATTCGATCATGTCCGCAAGAAACTCATCGCTTAGCTGCAAGACGTCGTTTTATCTATGGAGCAAGAAAAGTTGCTTGATTATTGCATGAATTTTCCACAGTTATGTATTATGTAAAAAGTTTAAACATTAAATAGCATTAAAATTAATTCATCATTTAAAAGTAATTTGTTTGATCGTAGTATATGTATAATGTAACAAAGATCTATTATGTTAAAAAAATCATTTATTTATTATATGTATACATAGAATTTCTTAGTTTACTGCGTACGTTGCCGTTCTAAATATGGAAGATCGATAACATAATAAAATGATTCTGTTAGTATCATATTTAGGAATTCATGAAACCTCATTCTTGTCGTTATATATTATTATTAGTATCAAAAATATTCCAATTTCCTAATATAAATGTTTTATAATTATTCTTTGCATTATATGTTTCTTTTTTTATATAAAATTAATTCAATATTAAATTATTTTAATTAATTTTTCTGTTACACAGAGATACATTCTAATTATTACCTTCTATTAACTAGATAATTGTTATTTGTGATAGATTAGCTAATATCCGCAAATAATTTTATATTAATAAATAAAAATATCCTTCTTTGTAGACGCAATATTTAATATATTCAAATCGTGTTTATATAACTTAGGATTAATTACTTTATGTTAAATATATAATGTTATAAAATTGCCGTACTAGTATAATTTTATTACATTTTATGGTACTAATTTGATCTAATGGAATATTATTATTATATTTGTTACGTATAAATTATTAATTCCTTGGTCATGCAGTTCTAAATACGAAAGGTCGATAATATTATGAAATGGCTCCACGTGTTCATAACACAAAGCGGTGTTCTTATTCATTGACCAGGAAGGAAGTCTTCCTTCCTGTCATTAACACAGGAAAAATTCGCCCATATTGATATAGATTTTACTATATGCTATTGTTCATAAATTCAGGAATACTTGCATGTTCCTCACATTTTATAAAAAATTGAGTACCTAATTGGTGAAAAAAAATTGTAGAAAAGTTTTCAAAAATGTATTTTAATGAGGAAAAATAAAGCTTCTCAAACTGGTATTTAAATTTTGTCTCTATGATATTTTGTTGCTAAATTACATAAAATTGAAAATTAATTTTTCAATATATTTTTTCAATGTTTTTATTTCACTTTAAAGTAAAATAAAAATATTGAAAAAAATATATTCAAAGTGTGCCTTGATAAAACATTATCGAACAAAATTTGATAAAACATTTTAAAATACACTTTCTAAGCTTTAAAATGTTTTTAAAAAAAATTGACGATTATTTTTTCGAATTTCAAAGATATCAAATTTCTTGTGTAAAAACTTTCCAGAAATGATAAATCAATCTATAAGGATTCCTTACTATTTAAAAGAAATTTGGAGATAACAGGGCAATAAGAGTCAGGTAATCGTTGTGCAAATATTATAATATACAAACATAACAAAAATTTTTATTACAATAACGCATGTTTCGGCTCATTTTTTAGCCCTCTTCAGAGACATATAAATCACCTTTATAGATACAATGTATACATACTGTATGTAATAACTACCTTGCCATAGTAAGCTCCCTCCATTACACAAAAATCCTATATCAGAATTAAACTCAGATGAAAAAGAAAGGAAAAGAACAATTTTTAGAATATATCAGAGATTTATCTTTTTAACATCCTGAGTTTAATTCTATAGGATTTTTGTGTAGTGGAAAAAGTTCACTATGACAAGGTAGTTACTACGTATACATTGTAAAGGTGATTTATATGTCTCTGAAGACGGTTAAAAAATGAGCCGAAACATGTAAATTCTTTACTGTAATAAAGAATTTTGTGTTATATCTGTATATTATTTGCGCAATGACTACCGCGCCCGACTCCTATTGCTCTGTTATCTTCAAATTTCTTTTTTTAACGTCAAAACTAAAAGGTTTACGGAAAAAAACAGAGAAAAAAGTTTGTTATAATATGTTTGATTGGTATAAATTTTTAAAAAATTCTTAAAAGCTTTTTCGAATTCAAATCAAATACATTATAATATAAACATTGTAACAAACTGTCTTTATATATATATATACATATATATATATATAAAATAGAGTCCCAAAATTTGCGCATTCAGGATATGATACTTTATGCTAAAACAAACAACTTTTTCTTTTTGCAAAATTGCGTCCGATAAGTAGTTTTTGTAGGAGAACAGATTAAAGTTAACAAATAAAAGCAAAAATTATTTATCGGACGCAATTTTGCTAAAGGAAAAAATTGTTTGTTTTAATATAAAGTATCATGTTCTGTACTCAATATCATGCTCTGTATATACATTATAATATGATTCCTCCAATTATTCTGCACATAAAAGTAGAGGTATAAAAAATCAATAATTTACGAAATATTTTACTTTCTTCTGCACATAATGACCATGAAATATTAAATAAATAATTAACATCTCGTAAACTATTAATTTTTTGATAATCGTACTTTAATACTTTTATGAACAAAATAATCAGATTAATCAATTGGTATAAAAAAAAAACATAAATAATTATTTATTTAAAATATGATCCATTTCAGATAATGTTCTCACATAAACGGTCTTATTTTCAATCTTATTATTTATTATCCATTTTGCCTCCATAATTTTCCTAAAGGAACTATATGTGTTTTCTTTTTGTCTAGCTGTAATTCTAGTTATTAAATTAACATTTAAAATGTTTTTATATTTTTTCAGAAAAGATTGAAATTTGCAAAAGAATGTCTCAGATTTTTCTTTTATTCGTTATCACAAACATAAAATAATTTGTCATTAAGAATTGTTGAGAAATAAAATTTTTAATCAACTACGCGTCTTTCTATCGAGTTTGGAGAGTTGTACTCTTTCTTTCTTGACACTACCTCTCCCCCCTCCCTCTCTTCCCCCTTTCCCTCTTTCTCTTTCTTTAATAAATAATAAATCTGAAATACAAGAGGGAAACGCAGCGCGAATGGGCATGTAGGGTCGTCACCCCATAACGCGAGGGTTACTGCGGTAAGGACTACAGACAGAATGTCGCCACTGCGATCGCAATTGAGAGGGTGTACGCCCGTACATAAGAGGGGTCCTGAAACTCGATTACGTTAGTTTTCCTCAGAAACTGAAAGTTTTCATGAACACATAAAATTAGATATACGTACATTAAATTATGATAATCACAATACATCCATTAAGATAAGCATCGCAATTAAGAATATGATAAATTATGATGAATTTAATTAAATTAAGAATATAATGCTTTCATTATAAGTATAAGCTATACGTCTAATATTATTGTACGATTATCCTCTTCGATGAATTATAACGTAGACTTAATTACATCCACTTTGGTAATTTTAATAATTTTACTTTTCATTTATATGTGTACGTAACGTATAATATCGTTATAATTAGTTATAATAATATAATAGCAAAATTATAAATATAGAGTTAAGCAGGACCGCTGTTAAAGTGCCTTTATGTAAGAGGATTTGCTACTTTTTATATTTTTTTATTTACTGATGTTTTAAATAAAATATTTCAAATAATTTTTAAAAAAATTTTAAGAATCTTTAAAGAGCTCAAAAAAATTTCATTTTTATTTTAAAATATTGTCATTAATTTTTTCCTTGAAAGAGGACAGAAATGTAAAAAGTAAAAATTTTTACCATTTAGGTTAATAAAAACATTTTTTACTTTTCATGTTTTCATTCTTAAAAAGCCAACATCGGTATCCTGCTAAATTTGGTATGAATTTGTATACATTGAAAGATTTTAGTAATATAGGGAAATAAATAATTATATGGTCTAATGATTTCAGACTTTAATTACGATACTAACGATACGAAATTTCTAAATTAATATACAGACATGTTTTGGAAGAAATTAAATCTGAAGCAAACACAAGCAATTGGTATTAAAAATGAAGAATTAATTTTTAAAACTTAATTTGATGCCCCGTTTGTTAATGTACCTTTGTGTAATGCACAACCTGCTTGCGGTGATACTGGAGTAGTGTATTCCCCTTTCGACGTTATTCCCTTCAAAGTTACTCTGTATTCCATAAATGTTTTGTATCGAATAAAATTTTACACAGTATTTTATGCCTTTGCGTCTTCAACGGGTATAAGAATCTCATTTAAAAGAACATTCGATAATATGTATAAAAAATACGTCTTTCATGTCATTTTTAATCAGAAAAACACAAAGAATTAATTTTAAAGGAAAGACTTTTCATCCAAAAACAACTTATACAGGATGTCTCACAACTATCGAATTCTCTTAAGAACATATTCTTAAAATAATTTTGAGGCGAAAATTCTAATACAAAAATGTCGAGGCTACAATAATTTTTTGAATTATAAACTAACTAATATAACTAATTTTAAATGCTTATAAGTAAAAAACCATTTTACTTTTGCAGCCTCTATTATTATAATATTCCTGGATTTTTTTGAATATTCTAAGACGAAAATTCTAATACGAAAATATCGAGGTTATAATAGTTTTCGAATTATACTATCTCTTTAACTAATTTTTTATAATTCAAAAACTATTGTAGCCTCGACATTTTTGTATTAGGATTTTCGTCTCAAAATTATTTTAAGAATACGTTCTTAAAATATATTAGAAGAATATGTTCTTAGAATATATTAGAGGAAAGTCGTTAATACTGACATAGATCTACAAGAAATAATCCCTTATATATTATAAAATTATTGCACTTTATTAATACTGATAAAAACATAATGTTTAAGTAATTAAAGAAGTAAAAAGTCATAACTTATACATTTGTAACTTGTATACAAAAAATCAACTAAAAAATTCTACAGAAATAAAATCGAATGAAAATAAAATTTTACAATTTTCTTTTTAAAATTGCGTAATTTAAATAATAGTGGCTACTGATTACATCTTTTATATATGTTTGTAGCTTCTTAAATCAGCTTTATTTTTTTTCTCATTTTTTTCATAATATGATTTTAAATATAAAATCGGTGCAGCGTCACT